GGTCATACCACATTTCTTCATATTGCATCCATCTATACACTGATTCACTCACTTAAAGCCTAATGGATGAGCTGAGCACATGCATTTTTTTGTGCTGTGATGATTAGCGGTGTCACCTGTAATGGAAAAAGATCCTGGTGATTTAGATGAGAGCTACGTGACCAAAGAAACAATCATCTCACCCATAACAGCCCTGTGCAGTAACGCTACCATCATACTTGAAAGACAGTGAATGAGATTTATAGCCTCATTAAGGAGGCATTAAGGAGGTTGCCTTTGACAAAGCAAGTGAGAGAATATGATATGACAGCTGCTGCCAAAAAAAGAAGAATAAGATAATAATTTACAGAGACATCCTTGTGATTTTGCCAGTACATCCTCAGTTATTGTCTTAATATACTGCTTGTATTTGACGGCATGTTTGCTGTGTTCATAGCGCACATACGTCAGCCTACTCTTTCTGCCGTGTACAGTATGCTTGTATGTGAATATGGAATATTACATTTGCCAAAATGTACAGTATGCCAGAGATCACACTATGTGGAATACTGTTTACGGAATACGGTCACAATATCAGGTCTGTTCTCATAAGGTCACGGACTGCAGTTGCATAATATGTAACTAACCATATAACTGTGCATATTCAGGATCACAGAATAATTAGACCTGCCAGTTTTTAAAGTCCCCTTACAGTCACTAATTTGATCCCTTAATTTAAAACTCATATTTGGTAATCAAAATGACATATCTAAACTTTTTTTTTTCTTCATGTCCTAATATGGCTTGAAATTAATTGTTTTACCTCATTTACAACAGCTCCACTTTCACTCAATCCTACCCCATACCTAAACTTAACAACTACCTTACTAACTATTAATATGCAGCAAATTAGGAGTTTATTGTGGGTTAATAGTGAATATGTGTTCCCTAATCACCTAATATAAAGTGTCCATAGGTAGAAACGCTTAATGATATGAAAAGCCCAAACTCGCAAGATGACAGGATTTGTTACATGTTTGTGATTGGTTACATCTGTCTTTGGTACTCTGCTGTTTTATGCAGAAAATGTTCAGAAATGTTTGGACTGATGAATCTGAACATGGTTCGTCTTTAAGCATATTGAAAACAACAGACAGACATGATCTGACTTTCACTGCAAGTATAGGGAAACTGTTTTCAATATCTATTGTTGTTGACGTTAAAGGATGTGCATCCAATCAAACATGATCAGCATGTGTATCATGCTCTCATCCTTTAAAAATACATGCAAAAGTCAAAGAAATTACCATCCAGACTGCAGTGCATTAAATGGAGGTGCATTAAAGATAAACATGGATTGTGTTTGTGCTAAGCACAGTGAGTTTTGTGTGGTGAATTAGTGGCTTAGAGAGCATGAAACCATAATAAATAAAAAAAACAATTTTGTGCAATAAACTTTTGGTACTGTATTTGGTACTATTGCCTCTTGATGTCCTAGGAAAAAACAGTGTTGAGAACCACTGTTGTATCCCGCAATGCACTGAGCTTCCAAAAGTAAATTTACCATCTTCTTTTTAGACTGCCACAAGATATTTTACATAAAATGCTGAGGCCATGTGATAAAAATACTAAGATCATGTGACAACAGTGCAACTTAGCATTACACCAAATACACAAAATAATGTTCTTTTTAGCAACATCATATGACCCCTTTAAATACATGTGCTTGACTGAGCTTACTTTAATGGATCGACAAGATTTTTTGAAAACAAAGACATGAAGTTGGACACTTTCTTCTTTCACATAGTGACGCTTGCACTCTGTTGCATATACTTTATCACAGATGAAGTGGATTAGATGCAATATTTGTCAAATACACAGATGTTACAGGAATTTTCATGAAGCAACAGAAACTTTTCAATCAGTTGTTCATGTACTGCTTAATGTAGTGCCATGTACAAGAATACAGTTCAACAGAAGCCAATACAATTTAAAAACCAAAAGGTTGGGTTTCTCCATTTTTGGCTTTTTATTTAGATATTTAGCACTTTGCATGACTGGACTTAAGTTTTATTTATTAAGCATAAATGTTGCAGTTAAACATTTTGGTCTCCACACAAGTTATACTAGAAGTTGATTTGGAAGCTAATTACCTAGTCACTCATTTATGACAATGACAAAGTGAAGTTTAGAACTGCTGTCCAATTCTTAACACAAGATTGGTTCCACCTTCAATTACAAGCATGTTCTTTTTCTCCACATGGAGTGTCTTGCAGTTGATCTTTTTATATCTGCTGCTGTTGATAGTTTGTACCTGAGAGGAGGCTAAAGACCACCAAGTTGCTCTATATAACAATTCTCTTTACATAAAATTCTACAGAAGTGTAGAGATGAACTGATTCATCCAATAAACTTTTGTCAGTCTCCTATTTACTTGAATATCTATATTTTCACATCTCTAAAGCTTTTTAATGGTAGATCTGCTCACCAATTTTTTTCTTTTTTTCATATTTCGCTCCATTCTGGATCTTTGAGAGAAGTTCCATTTTTGTTGTAAGAAGGTTCTAAATTTCACACGTCATCATGATACAGATTAGATGTTCAGTTTCCTTATACTACCTGCTGGGTGCAAATGACGCGTTGTCATATAGTCAGTCCATAGGGATGTGAAGCCATCTGTCAACTCAATACCATACCATCCCATAAACACTGCCTCGCATTCGCAGCGCTTCCTTTGAAGATTCCTACATGTCCCTAACACATGGGCCGTATGGCGCACACATGCATACACGAGCAACTGGCATCTCCATGGCCTTGTCAGCTGATTAACTCAGAGGACTGCTGTTTTATCAGCGCTCGACTCGCATCTGAAGTAGGCATGGCTGACAGTCAGGTCCTGTTTTGAATGTGTGGCCGGCTGTGGATGACAGGTTGGCCTTTCGTTTTTGGAGAGCATGAATATATGCTGCTTGCTTCAGGTTGTTTTTGTTGGATTTGAAATTCATGAAAAGCTGGTAGTTGCATATTTACATCAGTCTGACATGGCAAAACGTATTAAGCAAACACCTGTTATGTATGCATGAAAGAGGACATGAGAAAATAATGTGATATTAAAAGAGTCTTATCTTCAGGAATTAAATTTCCCTTTATATTTTTAGATAAAAGAGCTCAATGTACTAAGATAACATACTGTAACTTTCGAAGACAACACTTTCTGAACAAGTGTTGTCAACTAAAACAAACAATATTCAAAATTGTTTGTGTTAATTGAAATAAAGCTGCAATGAAATAATACACAAATATTATATGAAAAATAGAAAAGAAATGTTGATTTGGCAACTAACTGAAATGAGTTGAAGTGCTAAATTTATTCAAACTAAAACTGAAATAAAAAATAAATTCAGGCTAAATAGACATGTTTAGAAAAAATAATAAAAATTACAAAAGCAGGTGAAATTACTACAAGTTAAACTAAAATAAAAATAGTCTGGTTTTATTCATTCATTAAAAAATACATTAAAAATGCAATTCAATAGCTACATTGACTTGAATAGACTTCTTCTGTGATGAGTATATTTTTTTCATAAAATCTAATAAAAATCAAAATTAATATTTCAGAAACTGTCACAGTTTCCACAAAAACATTAGGCACCATAACTGTATTCAGCATTGATAATGAGATATATTTCAAATCAGCATATTAGAATTATTTCTGAAGGATCACGTCACACGTAAAACTGTAGCAATGACTGCTAAATATTCAGCTTTTGCATCACAGGAATAAATTACATTTTAAAAACATTAAAATAGGAAACAGTTATTTTAAATTGTGAAAATATTTTACAATATTACAGTTTTACTAATTTTGATCAAATAAATGCAGAGTATAAGACACTTTCATTCAAAAACATTAATAAATCTTACCAACCCTAAACTTTTTAACAGTACTGTTCGTCTACAAACTTGTAAAATGTAAACTTTTTCTTCCAATGGAAATAAATAAACCATGTTCAGCAGATTTTGTATGCTTTTTTATATTGACAACATTGTCCAACGTAGTATTTAATCAGGACGTCTATGAGCAGCACTGTTAAACATATGTTTCCCTGCTCATTGTCACAATCTGCATACCATTTTCATGAAAAATTCATGACTGTGACATGTTGCCTGGATGTGCAGATGACGACCCAATAACACCTGATCCCTGTCTGGCAACACAGACTACCTGGCCAGCCGCGGGCGGCTCAGCGAAATGGATGCGAGGAGGAAGTTCTGGCAGATCCTCTCAGCGGTGGAGTACTGCCACGAACGCAATATTGTTCACAGAGACCTGAAGGCTGAAAACTTGTTACTGGATGCTCACATGAATATGAAGATAGCAGGTAAGTGATGTACCTTTCCTTCTTACAGTCTGGGGTCGCTGAGTGAAAACATGGTGCTGTAGTAGACAGCTTATAAGAAGGTGTCAGTGACACCAAGAGGCTTTAAACATCTTGATGTCAAAATTCTCTCCTCTATCCCAATTTAATATGCAGAAACAACAACTCCAAGCAAGTCATTTGTTGACTTCTAGAGGCATGTAAGCTATGTGGCTCTGTCAAAACACTGCTCTATTTGTTTGAGCAGTCTGAAATGCCAACTTGTGGCTCAACCAATAGCATGAGTTTGGGACGGGACTATCTGTAATAAGCTGTTTAGTAGCTGTGAGGTGGGAGTGTTTGGGTAGGAAACAGCTAGTGGCACAGAAATAGAACTTTTACCTTGAATTTCAAGGGAGAACATTAGCAATGATTAAGCAAATAGTCCAACTTGAGAATTCGCCTAAAGTTAGATTGGAGCAAAAAGAATGATGTTTGATCTATTATCTATCTATATCCTATTATCTCTGTCTCGCTGATTTATTATCAGTGCTGGAAACTGTTGTGCTGCTTAATATTTTTTTGGAACCTGTGACAATTTTTTTTCAGGATTGTTTGATGAATAAAAAGTTAAAAAGAAGCGTATTTATTTAAAATGGAAATCTTTTCTAACAATATACACTACAGTTCAAAAGTTTGGGCTCAGTACATTTTTATTCTTTCTTTTTTTTTAAAGAAATTAAAACTTTTATTCAGTGATACCAAAGATTTATATTGTAGAAAAGATTTATATTTTGAATAAATGCTGTTCTTT